TGGAACGAATAATGAAGTAACAGCGGTGTCGGTAATCTTCCATCCATCAAGAGACGAAATCTGAACATTATATGATATTGTCAATTAAAAATTTTTAATTTGGGGGCGTCCATTAATCATGTGAGCGAGTTTTTAAGGATTATTAGACCCCCCCCTCCCCCTTGGTGATACATGGTGATATTCAAAATTACCCCCCCTCCCCCAACAAACATCACGTGTATTTTTAGTTAAGTGTTAAAACTGTAAAATTTCTGATTTTTTTTTGAAAATGTTTGAATTTTTTCTTTGAATCAGTTAAAAAATAAATACACGTGATATCTTACTATTCCCCTCCCTCCCCCACGTGATTTTTTGTGATTTTTTGTCAAACCCCCCCTCCCCCTGAAAACCTCACGTGATTAATGGACGCCCCCTTTAATAATAAATTTTCAATCAATGGTTGATTGAAGGTTCATTAATTCTTTGTGCATTAATTTATTTTAACCCCGCTCATTTACAAACGTACGTAGGTTAAATCAAACGAAGAGAAACTTCCATTTCTCAGAAAGACAATTCTCCGTTTATTGCTTTTAAGATTTGTTATCAATATGCTTTAATTCATCATACAATGTTACATTTATAAATTCTATCTTATGTGTAGTGCAATGATAAAATGTTTGATATTAGATCAATAAATTATTTTAACTAGTGGGGTGGGTGGCATCGTGCCTTGAGGCAAATTGCTGGAACTTCCCGTACCATAACAAAATGTTCGAGGAATACTGAATGTTTTCAAATAGATTATTATAAATACAATAAAAGTATTATAACATTGTCTAATATTTAGAAGAATTATATAAACTGAATTGTAGAGTTGAAATTATTTGTTTAAAGTATATTAGAGCTATAGTCAGAATTAAAAATAAAATCTGAATTATTTTCGATATACCAAAAAATTAAAAAAAAAAGAAAGTTCTTTGAATCAATCGAATCGCTTAGTTCTCTCAAAAACAGCCATTTTTTGTACATTTAGCTCCGTATCTTCGAAATGGCTGGGCCTGCCTTTGCGAAAAACTAATAACCACTTCTCCCAATCATTACTAATTGAATGTTTTTAGATCATTCAAATCGGATGATCCGTTCTCTCAAAAACTCGATTTCTATACTCTGCACTCTTTGCTCTTTATCTCCGTAACTGCTGGACCTGCCTTTGCCAAAAACTAATCAGCACATCTCCTTATCAATAGGAATCGAATGTTTTTTGAACCATTCAAATCCGTACGCCCGAAAACGTGGGCGAAAAATTGTATCCATACATACATACACACACACACAACCATTTTTTCTGAAGTATGCCAAAATGTTCAGAAACCTTCAAAACGTCGAGAAATGTAAAAATTTTCAATTCCGATTTTCGGCCCATTACAATAACTTACCCTACGGGAAGTTAAAAATGTTAGTGGCAACACTTTTATTGTCTTAGCGAAAAGAATTCACAAAAGATACTAAAACGCACTAAATTCATTTTTTTATATGATGAGTGCCTGCCTGTATAAAGAAATACAAAGACCTTTGGCAAAATGCTCTAACGAAACACATGTGCTGCATATGGATTAAACTGGATTTTATCCGAATAATAAAAAGCATGTTGAAATAAAGTTAGAAACAATTTACGAAAAATTTAAATATATAATGAAATAAGTCTAGTATATAATAATATAATAAATATAATTTTTAAATAATATAGTAATAAAATATTACATTATTAGAAATTTAAATTTAAAAAAATATATAGAGTAGGATAATTAAAATATGAAAGTGAGATGCTTTATATAAACAGTCATATAAAGTTATGTATTTTATTAAAATGTATAATGACTATTGCCTCACAATCAGACAGGTTGGTTTACAAGAAATTTTTAATAAGTTATCAACGTTATTCACATGTCAGGGTGTGATAATTATTATTACTCTATATTATATAAACAAGATAATGATAAAATGCACACATTTGATAAAATACATAAATGTTTTTCGCCGAAGTCTTCTTGCCATAAATGATATTTATTGTGAGACTAGAGAGGTGAAATTGTCACTTTTTCAATAGTATTAATTTTCGAATGCGAATGCAAATGTTTCAATTTTATTTTATTTTATTTTGACTCTATTCACATACATACCTTATAATAATGATATTTCATCATAAATATATAAAATTTTATATTTTTATATTTAATATCAACTATTGTTATCTATGTAATATGTTTTTAGATTACTGAATGATGACACACATTAAGTGTCGAAACATTTAATAGAATAAAGAATTTTACTCTTTTAACTTTTTTTTTTTAATTTGGACTATTTGCCTTAACTTTAATATATACATATATCTGACAAATTTTGACTGAAGTTCAAAAACAAGATGAGATATTAATAAGTGAATATAGCAATTAAAACTATAATTTCTTATAGTTCGAAATACGCAAACTTTGTTAGAAAAAATACAAAATGGGAAAAACAATAAGGACTTATTATTAGAATAGAATTAGAATTTGATTTGTATTTATAAGTATATTCGTTTATTAACTTCCCGTAAGATAAGTTATTGTAATCGTCCAAAAATCGAAATTGAAAATTTTTACATTTCTCGACGTTTTGAAGGTTTCTGAACATTTTGGCATTCCTCAGAAAAAATGGTGTGTGTGTATGTATGTATGGATACAATTTTTCGGTCACGTTTTCGGGCGCACGAATCAACCGATTTGAATGGTTCAAAAAAAATTCGATTCCTATTGATAGGGAGATGTGCTGATCACTTTTTGGCAAAGGCAGGTCCAGCAGTTACGGAGATAAAAAGCAAAGAGTACAGAAAATAGAAATCGAGTTTTTGAGAGAACGAAGTATCCGATTTGAATGATCTAAAAACATTCAATTAGTAATAATTGGAAGAAGTGGTTATTAGTTTTGGAAAAGGTAGGCCCAGCCATTTCAAAGATACTGAGCTAAATGTTAAAAAATGGCAGTTTTTGAGACAACTAAGCGTCCGATTTAAATGATTCAAAGAAATTTCTGCTTGTTTTAACAAAGTAATTGATTTTGAAAAAAAAATTGTTTCAAATTTTTTTTTTTCAATTTTTTTTTCCAAAAAAATTTTTTTTTGTATATCGAAAATAAACCAGATTTTATTTTTAATTCTGACTAAAATTCGAATGTACTTTAAACAAATAATTTTAACTTCGCAATTCAGTTTATATAATTCTTATAAATATTAAACGATGTTATAATATTTATCATAATCTATTTGAAAACATTCAGTATTCCTCGAATATTTCGTTACGGTACGGGAAGTTCCAGCAATTTGCCTTAAGGCACGATGCCATACACCCCACTAGTTTTTTTTTTTTTTGTTTGGAACAAATGTTTGATTTTATTTTTATTACAAATAAACACAGTTATTAAATTTAACAAATTTTCTATTCCTCTTTCTATAACCCCATCATCAACATGTTAAGGTAGCGTTTAGCGCTGTTTCGCTTCACTCTCTACTTTGATGGTCTACATATATATATATATATATATATATATATATATATATATATATATACAGGACCAAGAAAACACAAACACGGAAACGGGCGGAGAAAGACGATTAGATTAATTAATCCTAAATTTCAATAATTCTACGATAATACAAGTTAGTAAAACATTACGTTTAAGATTTTTATTTTTTTTTTCAAATATTATATTTTTTCGTGTATCTTATATCCATTTTTTGTGCACACATATAAATATAAAAGTAACTAGTGGGGTGGGTGGCATCGTGCCTTAAGGCAAATTGCTGGAACTTCCCGTACCGTAACAAAATGTTCGAGGAATATTGAATGTTTTCAAATAGATTATTATAAATATTGTAACATTGTCTAATATTTATAAGAATTATATAAACTGAATTGCAGAGTTTGAAATTATTTGTTTAAAGTATATTAGAACTATAGTCAGAATTAAAAATAAAATCTGAATTATTTTCGACATACAAAAAATTTAAAAAATTTAAAAAAAAAAAAAAAAAAAATGGTACAATTTTTTTTTTCCAAAATCAATTATTTTGTTAAGACAAGCAGAAAGTTCTTTAAATCAATTGAATCGGACGCTTAATTCTCTCAAAAACTGCCATTTTTTGTACATTTAGCTCTGTATCTCCGAAATGGCTGGGCCTGCCTTTGGGAAAAACTAATAACCCCTTCTCCCAATCATCACTAATTGAATGTTTTTTAGATCATTCAAATCGGATGCTCCGTTCTCTCAAAAACTCGATTTCTATTTTCTGCACTCTTTGCTCCTTATCTCCGTAACTGCTGGACCTGCCTTTGCCAAAAACTAATCAGCTCTTCTCCTTATCAATAGGAATCGAATGTTTTTTAAATTATTGAAATCGGTTAATCCGTACGCCCGAAAACGTGGGCGAAAATTTGTATCCATACATACATACACACACACACACACACACACACACACACATCCATTTTTTTCTGAGGAATGCCAAAACGTTCAGAAACCTTCAAAACGTCGAGAAATGTAAAAATTTTCAATTCCGATTTTCGGCCCATTACAATAACTTACCCTACGGGAAGTTAAAAATATAAAAATGAATGATAATAACGAAACGACGAACATCGTCGAAACTATCATAGAGATGGATGAAACTAAGATAAATAACGACAATAAATGAAATGTTCAGATCGTAAATATATATATATATATATATATATATATATATAAATTATAATAAAGTATTTATAATATATATATATATATATATATATATATATATATATATATATATATATATATATATATATATATATATAAATTCGAAATCAGAATCGATTGGAATCGGCACTACACTACAATACGGGGAATACATTTGTCGCGTATGAACTTTAGGTATTCCCTTGATAACTACAATATATGCTATATTTTATCTCTAAGCTTTACGGCGAATCATTTCATCGTTTCCTCTGCTCGATTCAGTTTGTTCTTAATGTGAATAAAGTTTAATTATACTGTGAATGTTTAGGTGGCTCCAAAAATTAAAGTGCTAATAATAAATATTAACACGAAGTACAGAATACGCACTGAATATCAAATCAATTGTTTTAGAAAAGATTTCAGATCTGTGTTCGATAAGGTATTTACTATAATACAATACAAAAATACAAACAAATACTTAACATAATTTTATTAACTTCCCGTAGGGTAAGTTATTGTAATGGGCCAAAAATCGGAATTGAAAATTTTTACATTTCTCGACGTTTTGAAGGTTTCTGAACATTTTGGCATACTTCAGAAAAAATGGATGTGTGTGTGTGTATGTATGTATGTATGGATACAATTTTTCGCCCACGTTTTCGGGCGTACGGATCAACCGATTTGAAAGGTTCAAAAAACATTCGATTCCTATTGATAAGGAGGTGTGCTGATTAGTTTTTGGCAAAGGCAGGTCCAGCAGTTACAGAGATAAAGAGCAAAAAGTGCAGAAAATAGAAATCGAGTTTTTGAGAAAACGGAGCATCCGATTTGAATGATCTAAAAAACATTCAATTAGTAATGATTCGGAGAAGTGGTTATTAGTTTTTCGCAAAGGCAGGCCCAGCCATTTCAAAGATATGGAGCTAAATGTACAAAAAATGGCAGTTTTTGAGAGAACTAAGCGTCCGATTCAATTGATTCAAAGAACTTTCTGCTTGTCTTAACAAAATAATTGATTTTGGAAAAAAAATTGTTTCATTTTTTTTTTTTTTTAATTTTTGGTATATCGAAAATAGTTCTAATATACTTTACAAATAATTTCAACTCTTTACTATAATTTCAAATTCTTATAAATATTAGACAATATTACAATATTTATAATAATCCATTTGAAAACATTCAATATTTCTCAAACATTTCGTTACGGTACGGGAAGTTCCAGCAATTTGCCTTAAGACACGATGCCACCCACCCCACTAGTTTTTACTATATATTTAGTTTATAATTATATCTACCTTCCATAAAATTTTATACTAATATTAATTACATAATTCATATTTTGTAGGTAATTCAATACTAGAAGAAAATGTCTGGTTTACAGTCTTTTATGGAAAAAAATCCTGCAATTTATTATAAAGTAAATATAGCAACTGAAATTGAAAACTGCCGAAGAACTACCGAAAGGAGACCACTCATAGTGATCGATGGAAGTTGCTCTAGACAAATATTTGGAGAGACTGACCAAAAAAAATTTTTGACAGGAGGTCAATACAAATTGTATAAGCAAAAAGCTGGTGAATTCATAGAATTTTTGCAAAGGTTTGATGTGGAATTAGTTGCATTTTTTGATGGATGCAACATAGATGATATGCAGGATAGATGGGTAGCTCGAAAAAGGTCTGATATCATGGCTATTTATGAAATCTTCGATACTTTAGATGATAATGGTTTGGAATATGTTAATGAATATAATATAAAGCCAGCTTGTAACATCGGTGAGGTCATAATGTGTAGCTTCCAAAATAAATGTAATGTTATTAGATCCACATTTGAAGAATGTGACTCAGAAATCATAACATATGCAAAAGAAAATAACGCTCTGGCAGTATTTTCACAGGATGTTGATTTTGCAGTTGCACAAGCTGATTTTGCATACTGGTCTTATAAAGACCTGAACTATGAAGAGCAAAGTACACATGTTTATGATGGCAGAATGTTAGCTGAAGCTTTAGATTTACAAGTGGAACAATTGCCTTTGCTACGAACAATGATTGGTAATTATATCTACTTCATTAATTAATATTTCAATTAGGAAAAATATATTTTTAAATATATATATATATATATATATATATATATATATATATTTGAATAGCCTACAATTTGATGATATAATATATTTTATTTGAGTTTAATAGTCGGACGTTACAACGTCGTAACGCCTGACTTTTAAACTCAAATAATATATATATATATATATATATATATATATATATATATATAGTAAAATCTCAATAATCCGACACTATTAAGAACAGGATGTTGTCGGATTACTGGAATGTTCAGCTTACTGGATAATAGTGAATACGTCATAATTTTTCATATGATTTTAGAAATACTTTATGTTTAAAAAATTTATATATATAATAGAGTCTAATAATAAGTTAAAACAACATTTGAATAGTCTTGAATTTGATGTTGATATATATGTTTAATTTGAGTTTAATATTCGGGCGTAACATCAATAAAAATAGTATGAGAGTTTTTTTTTTAAATTTATTTATTTAAAATCCATACGTTTCGGCTAGCATCTTAGCCATCATTCAGTGGTAATCAAGTTAAAATTTTGTATCCTAATATAACATATGAAACCATTATTAATCCATGGTATGAGTATGTGCACATTGATAAGATATATATTTTTTAACACAAACATCACAAATGGTAAAACACACTAATAACCATGATAACTTAACAAGTTGTCGAAACTATGTATTTACTCTTCGGAGTTTAGGATAAAATTTCTATCCTTTTTCTACCGCCCTATCACTAGTATAATAGGAACAAATTAATTATAAAAAACTTTCTAGTTTTCTACTGAATGACGGTCTCGATGAAGACTGCAACGTATGGATTAATAAAGCTGATTTCCTAATTTTTATTTCTAGTTCTACTTTACTTTGATATTTGTACTTTGTTTTTCAGGAAATGATTATGTATTGAGTACAAATTTGCAAAGATGGTTCAGACGACTTAATGTTCGTGAATATCCAAATTCCAGTTTTAATAATCGTGAAAAGATTTGCAAAGTAGCACGACACTTGCGGAACTTCAATAATTCTATCGATAGTTATAGGCGTTTAGCAAACCAAGCATTTGGCAGTCAAGATCAATTTCAGAACATAAAATTGTCTGTGGAATCCTATATGGGCATTAGACGAGAAAAAGTTACTAGTTTGTCCAATGATATCAGATGGAACGATTTATTAATGCAAGTTGTTAATCTTGTACAAGATCCACATTCCAATTTGTCTCCCATGGTTTTTGACATTTTATACAAACAAGTGTTTATGTCAAATATGCTTTACGAAGATTTTAGAAAACACGATATTCCACCATCGGAGATTCTTTGGAGACCAATAAGAGCTAAAATATATGGAATTTTATTATTGGACTTTTGTTCTACAAATGGCAAAAAGGTTGTTAAAGAGTGGGTTTGCCACGGGGGAGATATATCCATACCTCATTTTGTTGAAGCAGTCGAACCAAGTTGCAGTCTAAATAACTATAAACTACAAGATTTTTGGGCAGAAGATAAAGATGAGGACTTGATTGATATAGCTTGGAAATTATTTTGCGATGCAATACATGAAAAACTTCCTGTAAAAGCAGTGCAAAGTATTAATGAAAAGATAATGGCAACAACTTTAATTGTGTTATTCATGAATAATAAATGTCAAATGACTAAAGATGAAATAGATGCTTTCTTGATGATGAGTGCGTTATGCAGCACAAGAGATGATGTAACTGGATACTCTAAAGATTGGAACAATATAATTAATACACGATTGCTACGTCTATCAACAGTTTTCTTAAGAGGCCTTAGCACAATTTGCTTTTTCTTTGAAAGTACATGCTTTTTAATACCAAAAGAAACTATATCGGAGTGGAATGTCTTTGATGGAGCTTTATTACAATATTTGTATGAATCACCTATAAGTGAACACCTTGTTGATGATGAAATAAAGCAGTTATTCCGTAGTTCTAGAAATTTTATTGATGAGTATAAGAACTTGTTTTAGTTCTACATGTAGAGTTCATTCATCTATTTTCAATATATATTAATGTATTAATATGTAGTATACATGCACAAACAATATTATACATTTGTAATATATTTCAAGCAGGAAATCTGAACAAAAACGAAAATAATTTTTCAAAACAAGTTTTTTTCCAACTTCTCGGAAATAAGTATCAACCACTTAACCTAATATCGATATAATACATATACAACTAGCAATATGGTATATTTATTCTACACTATTGTAGTCACATTACTTGTCATTTTAATCATTGTTTTGTAGTTAAAAAAATAAGTATTCTTAGTAAGCACATGTTATTTGTATTGTTATTTGTATTGTAAAGCGTATTAAACAGAATATGATAATAAAAAACAGGACAATATAGTATATATAGCAAATTATTTATGCAAGTGTTGGCTACTAACACCAAGACTTAATAATCGAGTGTAAACATCATTTAAAGAAATAACTGTATTGACCTTGTGTTCTTCAGTACAGTGCAATATGAGAAGAAGCAAATATATGGACGAGAATTTCTCATACCAATTTATAAATGTTACATTATAAATGTTTAACACAGTAATATCTAAATACCATTTTTTGCTATTGCATTTTGTGCTTAAACTGTACACTTTATCGAAAATTATTACAATTCACGACATAGAATGTAAACCATGGAAAATATAATACAAGACGTTGGCCTAAGTCCGAGGGTTCAGGAAAGACCAGTGATGTAGATTTAAAGTGACCAAAAGAAATGACCAGTGATGTCGATTTAAAATCTAAAGATATGTAGAATTTTGCACTGTAAGTGGAACAAATATAATTATGTAAGCATGACCACACTACACTCAAATCAATCACAATAATTCGACAAGAAAATTCAAGACCAAAAAGAGAATCGGTGACATTATTGTTGACACTTTATTTATATTTTGTAATATGTTGTATTATTTGTATTGATGAACTTCCCGTAGGGTAGGTTATAGAAATCGCAAAAAAACGAAAATATTTTTTTTTATATATCTATTTATAAAGATTTTATTTATCTTTATGAGATATAAGTTTCAAAGGTTTATGAACATTTTGGCATACGTTAGAAAAAATGGATGTATTGCGTGTGCTTGTGTGTATGTGTGTGTGTGGGCGCGGATACAAATTTTCGTGAACGATTTCGGGATCAAAGAACCAATATGAATAATTCAAAAAAAAACAACGTTTCGTATTTATGGGGAGACGTGCTGATTAGTTTTTCACATAGGTCAAACAGTCTTCAGATACGGGACAAAAAGTGCCAAAAATGGCAATTCAGTTTTGAGATGATGGAGCGTCCAATTTGAATAATTGGATTTAAGTAAATTTTTCGAAAAACTAGTTAAGCGGTTTCGAAGAAGATTTTCAAAAAGAAAAAATAATGTTTTCAAAAAAGTAAAAAAAAAAAATCAAAAATTTGAATGCTCTCAAAAATCTAATTTTTTCAAAGTTTTCAAAATAATTTAAAGCTTTTTTTAAATTTTAATTTTCGGAACTGAAAATTCCAGCAATTTGACTTAAGGCAATGCCATGAACCACTAGTTTTATTACTTTATTTAAAAGAAGAGAGAATAATTGTTTTTTATCCGTATACTTTTCATTGTTTTAATAAATTTATCATTTGCTAGTAAATTCCCTTTCTCTACTAAATGCCAAATAGTGTTAAACTTGCATTTGATACAAAATTTAAATATATCCCTGATGAGTGATTACGTCATTTTGTATAATTATAGTATTTATTGATAGTGATTTGAATATAGTGTTGTGTCAAGAATTATTAGTATACTATTCTTAACTGTTGTTTTCCATGGTAAATTAAGAATATTATTATAATTGTTAAATTTTGAAAAATTGTGTCTTCTTGAAATATATTGCATGTAATAATGAATATCACCAACTTGTTTAGAAATAAATTTGAAATCCCTCTGATTATGAGCCCAAACTGGCGAAAAAAGATCAAATCTGGTGATTTGCAACTGGTCTGTATTAGTGCGCGCATGCGCAGACTGATTTCAATATTCATCGGCTTAGGACAGTTTGCGATTGTTTGGTTTCGAAGTGAACGAATGCAATTGGTTATGGTTGCCCTATAGCCATTTCATAAAATTTAATTCTAATTTTTAGTAGAAACCCATGGCTAAACCTTTAATTTGTTTTTATTATTGATTATAGAATATAGAAACAAAATGCCACTTTCAAATAGTTCATCCACGATTTCGGGCGCACATTCAATTCCTATCTATAGGGAAACCCTATCTATTAATTTATATTAATTCTAAGGTGACCATATTTTTTTGAATCATAACCGGGACGGCAACTTTTGTTAACGGAATGAAGAATGATTGATTACAGTTTTGCGACAGCAGATACAGCGGTTTTGGAGATGCCAAAAAAAGGCTAAAATTGACATTTGTTTATCAAATAAGATTTTAAGAAATCATTATTACTGATTCACATACAAATAAAGTTTTTTGTAAATAGGTAGACAGGTATACAGGTAGACAGTTAAAAATAATAAAAGTAGACAAGTAAGCAGATTGGCAGCTATATCTCATAGACAGGTAGACGGGTAGGCATTTAGACAAGTATCCAGGTAATCCAAGTAAAAAGGTAGAACAGAAAGCACGTAGACAGACTGATAGACTGATAAGCTAATAGGTAGGTCAGTTGATAAACAAGTAGATAGGCTGGTAAACGGGTAGACAGGTATACAGGTAAACAAATGAATAGGTGGACAGGTCGAAAGGTACACAGATGCACAGGTAAACATCTGGACAGGCAGAGATGCAAACAGGTAAATGGGAATAAATGTAGAGAAGTAGACAAGTAAACTGGCAGATTGGTAGAGGGGTAGATTGTATATAAATTTGAAAAAAAAAATGGTTAGATCGATTATTTACACACAGTTCATGCGACTTGCCACAAGACAATATGAAACACTAACTTGTTATTTTGTTTTTTTCATAAATAAATCTAAAATCTAAATTTTCAATAGATGTCGTTATTATTATAATGGTTTTATTATTAATTAATATATTTATAAAAATAGTTCTATATCAATTTTCACAAACATTATTCGACAGGCCTTACTTAAACTGAGATACTTATAGAAGTATCTCATAAGTATATATCTTATATAAGTACCGATAATATATATTATTGGTTTTATGCAAAATTTATAAAAATTATATTTAAGATACTTTATATTCTATTTATAATTTTACCAATCTTGCGAATCTGATTTGACTCCTCTTTATATATTGCAACGATTGTTATAATAAAACTAGTGGTGTATGGCATCGTGCCTTAAGCTAATTGCTGGAACTTCTCGCACCGTAATGAAATATTTGAGGAATATTAAATGTTTTCAAATAGATTATTATAAATACTGTACCTTATATTTGTCTACAGAAAAGTAAATAAACAAAACTCAATCAATCAAATTTAAAATGGAGGAAATTGTTTATTATTTATAAAAATTATATAAATGAATTGCAAAGATAAAATTATTGATTTGAAGTATATAAGTGAGTTTTAAAACTTTAGCTAGTATTAAAATTAAATTCCGAATTATTTTCGATATCAAAAAAAATATTTTTTGGAAATTAAAAAAAATAAACTAGCTGTAAGTGGAATTCTGTCTTGAGGCAATTATGGCATCGTGCCTTAAGGCAAATTGCTGGAACTTCCCGTACCGTAACGAAATGTTCGAGAAATACTGAATGTTTTCAAATAGATTATTATAAATATTGTAACATTATCTAATATTTATAAGAATTATATAAACTGAATTGCAGAGTTGAAATTATTTGTAAAGTATATTAGAACTATAGTCAGAATTAAAAATAAAATCTGAAATATTTTCGATATACACAAAACTAAAAAACTAAAAAAAAAAACTAAAAAAAAAAAAAAAAAAAAAATTGAACAAAATTTTTATTTCAAAATCAATTATTTTGTTAAGACAAGCAGAAAGTTTTTTGAATCATTTAAATCGGACGCTTAGTTCTCTCAAAAACTGCCATTTTTTACATATTTAGCTCCGTATCTTCAAAATGGCTGGGCCTGCCTTTGCCAAAAACTAATAAACACTTCTCTCAATCATTACTAATTGAATGTTTTTTAGTTCATTCAAATCGGATACTCCGTTCTCTCAATAATTCGATTTCTATTTTCTGAACTCTTTGCTCCGTATCTCCGAAACGGCTGGATCTGCCTTTGCCAAAAACTAATCAGCTCTTTTTCCTATCAATAGGAATCGAATGTTTTTTGAACCATTCAAATCGGTTGATCCGTGCGCCCGAAAACGTGGGCGAAAATTTGTATCCATACATACATACACACACACACACATACACACACACACACATCCATTTTTTCTGAAGTATGCCAAAATGTTCAGAAACCTTCAAAACGTCGAGAAATGTAAAAATTTTCAATTCCGATTTTCGGCCCATTACAATAACTTACCCTACGGGAAGTTAATAAAAAGAAATTCTTTTCCCAAAAGCAATGTTTTGTCAACACAAGCAGAAAGTTTTTTGAATCATTCGAATCGGATGCTTAGTTCTCTGAATTTTTTTTTTTGCACATTTAGCTCTGTATGTCCAAAACGGCTGGAACTGCCTTTACCAAAAACTAATCACCACTTACACCGCTCCCCGCCATTACAAAATGAATGTTTTTTGGATCAATCAAATCGGATGCTTCGTTCTCCAAATACTCTATTTCTATTTTCTGCACACTTTGCTCCGTATCTCCGAAACGACTGAACCTGAAACGGTTCTTTGTCAAAAACTAATCAGCACATCTCCCTATCAATAGGAATCGAATGTTTTTTGAATCATTTAAATCGGTTGAGCCGTGCGCGCGTAGACGAAAAAATGCGGACACACAATACACACACACCACACACATCCATTTTTTCTTAGGTATGCCAAAATGTTCAGAAACCTTCAAAACGTGAAGATATGCAAAAACTTTCATTTTCGATTTTTTGCCCATCACTAATACATACCCTACCCGAAGTTAAAAAACTAAACATGCACAACACACACACAAATATATATATATATATATATATATATATAGAGAGAGAGAGAGAGAGAGAGAGAATTTTGTGATAAAAGTGGAACGAATATTAAATGTTAAATCTGAACAATACAACACTCAGATTTTTAACACACACTTTATTTAATAATTACAGACGTTTCGAGACCATGGTATGCCTCATCTTCAGTGTAATTTCGAAACAGTTAATTATATACTTCATTCATTACTAACGTCTATTTAATATATATTCGAAATGATAATTGATTGCAATGGGCAACACTAGAATAGGGAGAACACATGTGTCGCGTATGAACTTTTGGTATTCCCCGGACTAACTATAATAAAGCACTATTTGATCTCTAATAGTATGGGGGCTAGCAACGCTTTCGAGAAAGAATTTTAGTAAGCAGATTTTTTGTTATGTGGTCCTTGTCACTCTTTCGGGTAGAGTCTGGCCATCTGGCTGGTGGTAGTGTTCAAAATTTAAAAAAAATTTTAGTCAGTCTTATTTTCATTTTGTTTTTTTTTTTTTTACTTTGAATAGGTTCACCGACTTACATTTTTTGTCTTCAGACATTTTTGTCAACGCTAATTATGTGCCAAAAGCAGATTTACTTATCTTCTTATTTGTATTATTAGTTATTTTTATTTAATTTTATTGTATAGAATTATCTTTTTATTATTATTTTTTAAATTATTTTTACCAGTATAATTTAGATTATCTATAATTTTAATATTATGTTTATTAAGGTTAAAAAATAAATTTGATTTGTTATGCGTTTATTCGGATGTTAAGCACGTCAAAATCATGAAAAATCTAGCGGTATAAGAAAACTATTACAAAAGCACATCATGTACTTGTACTAGTACTAGTCCAAGTTAGTGTTACTTTCAATAATAAAATATTTATAAAACAAATAAAATCAAATCAAAATAAGGCGTAATTATGATACAGAGAATTGAAAATTCAATATATTTTTTATTTAAAATATTCTGATCGCTGAATAAAAATTATGAAATTCGTTTTACATCTGAAGAATGTTTAACTCTATACATTTGGCAAATAAGTTTCTCGTGCGTTGTAAATGTAGTTTTCGAATGCTGACTGATATTCTTGATTGTTTTAAATGTGACTCAAGTAAACCTATTCAAAGTAAAAAAAAAATGAAAATAGACTGAGTAAAATTTTTAAAAAATTTTTGAATCGTTTGCTTTCAAAACGTTACCAGCGGTCTTACTATCAGCTTTGCTGTGAATCATTTCGACATTTCAACGTTCGCTCTGCTTGAGTCATTTTGTACGTTAAAGTGATATTGTGAATAAAACTTAATTATACGGTAAATTTTCAAATGACTATAATAATTAAAGTGTTATTAATAAATGTTAAATGGGATACAGAATGAATACTGGATTTTAAATCAATTATTTGATTATTATTTTAGATATTATTATGATTGCAGTTCAGTGTTCGGATTAGATATTTACCAATTCTAGTGCAGAAAATTTGACATTTAATGATGAAAAAACTAAAATTTATGAATGTGTTTGATTCTATATAATAAAAAAGCAACCTTAACACAAATACTGACCTATATATTAATCTATATTTGTAAACAATAAATCTATAGATCTAATTTCTTTATAAAGAATTACCTTCGACAAAAGATTTATACTAATAATAATCGCGTAACCCTTATTTCGTAGGTCATTTATTACTAAAAGAAAATGTCTGGTTTACAATCTTTTATGGAAAGGAATCCTGCAATTTACTATAAAGTGAATATACCAAGTGAAATTGAAAAATGCCGAAAAGCTACCAAAAAGACACCACTTATATTGATTGATGGAAGTTGCTCTAGGCGAATATTTGGAGAGACTGACCCAAAAAGAATTTTGACAGGAGGTCAATTCAAATTGTATAAGCAAAAGGCTGATAAATTTATCAATTTTCTTCAAAGTTTTGATGTGGAACTAGTTGCATTTTTTGATGGATGCAGGATAGATGATATGCGGGATAAATGGATAGCTCAAAGGAATGAGGATATCAATTCTGCTTATGAAATCTTGGACACTATAGAAAATGAAGGTTTGGAAAACGTTAAAGAAAACATGATTAGACGGATGTATAATATTGGTATGGTCATAAAGTCTTGCTTCCAAAGTAAATGCAAAGTTATTCAATCGACACTTGTAGAATGTGACTCAGAAATCATAACATATGCAAAAGAAAATAAGGCTCTGGCTGTATTTTCACAAGATGCCGATTTTGCAGTTGCACAAGCTGATTTTGCATACTGGTCTTATAAAGATCTGAATTATGAAGATCAAAGTACATATGTGTATGACGGCAGAAAGTTAGCTCAAGGTTTAGGTTTACAAGTGGAACAATTGCCTTTGCTACGAACAATGATTGGTAATTATATCTACTTTATTAATTTATATTTGAATAAGAAGAAGTATATTTTATTATAATATGATAATTATATTTAATTGATATTCTGACTTTGCTTTACATTAATGTTACTTGTTCTCAATTTTTCAGGTAATGATTATGTTCTAAACAACACTCTGCATATGTGGTTCAAGCAACTTAATGTTCATCAACATCGTAATTCCAACTTCAATAAACATGATGTGATTTCAAAAGTTGCACTATACTTAAAGAACTTTGATAATTCTGTTGAAAGCTACAAGCGTTTAGCAACCCGAGCATTAGGCAGTCAGGACAAATTTCATGTAATAAAAATGTCTGTTGATTCCTATATGGGCATAAAGAGAGAAAAAGTTACTAGTTTGTCCAATGATATCAGATGGAACGATTTATTAATGCAAGTTGTTAATCTTGTACAAGATCCACATTCCAATTTGTCTCCCATGGTTTTTGACATATTATACAAACAAGTTTTTATGACAAATATGCTTTACGAAGATTTTAGAAAATATGATATTCCACCATCAGGCATTCTCTGGAGACCAGTAAGAGCTAAAATATATGGAATTCTACTACTAGACTTTTGTTCTACAAATGGCAAAAAGATTGTGAAAGAGTGGGTTTGCCACGGGGGAGATATATCCATACCTCATTTCGTTGAAGCAGTTGAACCAAGTTGCAGCCTAAGTAACTATAAACTACAAGATTTTTGGGCAGAAGATAAAGACGAGGACTTGATTAATATAGCTTGGAAATTATTTTGCAATGCGATGCATGAAGATCTTCCTGTGGAAGCAGTGCGAAGTATTAATGAAAAGATAATGGCAACAACTTTACTAGTGTTATTCATGCATGATGAATGTGAAATGACTCAGGATGAAATAGATGCTTTCCTGATGATGAGTGCATTGTGCAGCACAAAAGATGATGTTACTGAATACTCCGAAGCTTGGAGAGAGCAATTTAATACTCGATTGCTACGTTTATCTGCAGTGTTTTTAAAAGGTCTATCAACAATTTGGTTGTTTTTCAATAGCACATGCTTTTTAATACCAAAGGAAAGTATATCAGATTGGAACATCTTTGATGGAGCTCTGTTGCAATGCTTGTATAAATCGCCCTTAAGTGAAAACTCTGTTGATGATGAAACAAAGCAGTTATTCCAAAGCGCTAGAAATTTTATTGATAAGTACAGTTACATGTTTTAGTACTATATATATCGTTTAATCATCTGTTATAAGTCTTTTTACACATGCATAAATGCATTATATAAGTATAAAAATATTATACATTTTTGTTATGTAGCAAATTTGAATAAGAACCAAAACTGTTTTTCAAAATACGTTTTTTTTTTTCAATGTTTCGGAAATAAGTACCTTCCAATTTCAGAATTACTATAATGTATACAATATTGAATCGTAACTTTGCAATTAGCAAATATTAAAATGATATGAGTTGAAAACCTAAAATCATACACTTGCAGTTGATTGAATCGCTTTGTTCTACTCATTAAATTGTTATTTTATTCACTATTGTGATTTAAAAATTAAAATTTTTTAGCACGTTATTTTCAATATATAAGGGTTAATCAGTATTTGTGGCATTTATCATCACTTTGTTGGTTTTCTAAGTGGTGTTTATCATGTCATTGCTAAACACTAGGTTTTGGTATGTAACAGAATATGATAATGAAAAATTGAATTATATACCAATGACTGTAAACTATTCATAGGTGTTTAAGTTACTAATGCTAAGTTTTAACTAAATTGAAAAGTTCAGTTTATAGAAATTTCGAGAGCAGATGTAATGCGAATTTTCCTACGAACGAATTCAGAGAGAGTCGACATTTATGTCTCATGCAAAAACTATGTTTTGCATTTAGCATTATTTAAAATAGGTTGTATTAGAATATTCTTAATATTAGTCAAGAGATTCGGACGGAGTATGTATACATGCAAAGACAGCCATTTCAGAATAATTATATTACAACGATATAACTAAATTCACCTTCTTTCCTATTATTATCACGACAACATGAACTACAAAATTAAAAATTTTAGTTAAGAATACTAGTATTCTCAACTAGGTCTACAATAATAATGACCTTTTTCTTACCACACTTAAATTAACTTCGGCAGACCTGCAAGAAGATCCCACACCAGAGCAAAAACACGGCAGGCATCCATCTTCATGGCTCTCGCTTAACGCAAAAAACCCCGTTTTGCATGTATCACAATGAACTCCTTCGACATTCGGCTAAATAAAATAACAAAACAAAATCATATTAATAAAAAAGACATACTTTAAGTGTTTCATACAGAATTTTGCGTGGTTTAAGTGTGGTTTTTGAAATAATGTCAATTGTTATGAAAACAAAATTTTGCGAGGTATGGAATATTTGCCATAAATCCTACCTTTGGCATTATTGAATATAAGGTTTAATACTAAATTAGAGTTATAAAATATTTTGTAATTTTGTTACTGAAATATTATAATGAAATAAAAAGACTACACAATACATTGCGCACTACCACAGCTGATTCATATATATAATATATATAACGGGGCTTAAAGGTCCGCGAGTAAAAAAAATACACCACCGATATTTCGAAAACAAATAAATAAAATGTTAAGAATTTTCAACGAAAACTTTGTTTCGAAAACAAATTAATAAAAAGTTAAGAATTTTCAACAATATATACAGAGGCGTAACTACCGCTGTATCAGCCGTATCAAAGATACGGGTCCCCGATCCAGGAGGGCCCCAAAAAAATGAATAATTTTAACGTAGTTTGCATTTCCTTTTGTTATCGATAGATATTGAACTACAACTTGTAAGAGAATTTATTTCTGCTGCAATATTTCTGCAAGCTCTAGCAATCAATTCAATTAGTAAAACTTTTGCACATCCGATAAGTTAATATTCTTGTATAGATATGGACAAGTCTATAAAACTAATCCAGTTTATACATTCTTCATCAAAAATTGGAATTTGGAATTTTTATAGTTATACTTATAAAATGTTTATATTTGTTTTTTTTTTACTATTTGAATTGTCTGCATGATGCGCAAGTTTAATAGTTATATTTTGATAAATATGATCAAGTAAATCATTTTCAGATTTCTTGCTTCACTGTTTCAAATTATTAGTTTTATTTCTGAAACTCTACAACATGCCAGTAATGACTTACAAAAAACTATAGTATATTATTATTTTTATTTTTTTTTTTTATTTATTTTTTTAAATTTTTATTTTCAATAGCAATCAGAATACATGACTATTCTATGAGCTATTTGGCTTATGTCATTCACTCACACACATACACACACACTTGCAAACACACATATAAATTTATCGGATCAATATTACAATCATATTTAGAGAATCACTTCAATAAATGATTCAATTATTCTGTTCATATTATCTAAGGTTCCTAGTATATTATTAAGTAATCTTTTGAATAGACTATGAAAATTAAGATATAAAAATTTATTGAATTGTTTTTCAGAAGATAAGTCCAAATAATTTGCAAAAAAGATGGATTGCAATAACTATTTTAAATAACAAAAGACAAAAGATAATGAAGCGTTATTATGATAAGTTATCACAAGATGAGAGAATTTTAGACCCAAAATTTTATTTTAATATATACTATTGCTGTTTGCTAACCAAACAAAGACTTCAAAACCTTTGCGACTTAAGTAGTAACATTTGTCTTTTTGAAATCGAGAATTAATAAACGTTTCCGGAAAACTGTCGACTAAATTACTGTAAAGAAATACTGTCAAGATATCTTATATGATCATGACCAATTGATTGATAATTCAAGAAATAGGTTTGAATACGGAAATCAAAAAAATTTTTTTTATTAAAATACAATGATAGATGCAATAGGCTTGCATCGGTTTGGCCCTACCACTTACAATCGCAACTGTTTTAAAATGATATTTTCAAAATTAAAACTAATTAAAAATTACGTAAAAACTTTGGGACAGAAACGTCTATCGGACATGTATGTTGCTAGAGACAGAAACTTTATAAAATTTAAAGTCACTAAATAATTCAGTTTTTCAAAAAAAGGCAAGGAGAGTGAATAAATATATAATATTTGTGAAAATTCAGAAAATTAGAGAGAGTTAGATAAATAATTAGAATGATAAATATTTTTTTAATATTATTTTTATATTTTATGGAAAAAAAAATCTCTTGAGGGGGCCTCCAAACAAATTTGAATACGGAGCCCCGCCAAGGCACGTTACAACTATGAATATAATATGATTTTGATGTTGAGATATGTGAGATTCAGTCTTCAGGGCAATTAAAAACTTGTATGAACTTATAACATTTTTATTGTTTCCATACGTTTCGACACATTGTTTTGTGTCATCTTCAGTGGACTATATAATAGTAATTGTTCATAAATGCACAATAAAAACAATTCTATGGGCTATTGCCGCATCGGACAACGGCTTTGCGACATGTATTATACAATAAAAAATTCTTTCTAAAAATTTATATAATTGTTCCGATTTGAAGTGACAAGAATTGTTTTTATTGTGCATTTGTGAACAATTACTACTATGAAATAATTAGGATTACTACAATTACATAGTCCACTGAAGATGACACAAAACAATGTGTCAAAACGTATGGAAACAATAAAAATGTTATAAGTTCATACAAGTTATTAACTGATGTATTGCCCTGAAGACTGAATCTCATATATATATATATATAAATATATATATATATATATATATATATATATATATATGTAAAATACATATATGGTGTTTTGGTGATTTAATTTTATTTAAAATTGTATAAATCACGTTTTAGCCTTGTTGTTTTAATAATAAGTAAATATTGCTATTAATTTTTGCCATATATCATAAATATAGGTTGTATTATATAAACTAGTTGGTTGGTTAGTTTTTAGAGTCTGTTATTGAGTTGTGATACCTTACACTGGCACTCCAGCTCGCATTCAGATCCAGGAAGCGATCCACGTGTATCGCAGGGGCATGGGCGACAATCCGCGCCGCGATGGCCAGGTTTGCAGCGGTCGCATCGTAAACCATCAAAGCCCGGCTTGCACTCACAAGCGCCAGGGTTTAATTCATCCAAATCGCAAATACCTTTTTGGGGAAAAATAATCAATTAATTACCTTATTTTTTATGTTAAGGAGCACAACTAGTGTAACCGCCTAAAAAAAGGTGATTTTTGGGAATTTATATTAAAAAAACTACTTTATCAATCATTTCAAAATTTTAGCAATATATTTATACATATTTTAAGAATACATAGTCAAATTTTTGAAGAAAAAAATTAAATATTTTTTAAATTATCGTCGATCTCCAACGGCGCGATAAAAAAAAGGTTCTTCATTGCTGCAGTGATTCCGGCTTTCTACGTGGATGAAATTTAAAAAAAAAAATCTCGTTAAACTAGATGATATTGCCTGTAAAATGAACAGCGATGAAGAAAAAAAATCAAATATTGACAAACGGCGTTTTAAAAAAAAAGTCTAATTTTACCCAAAATTTTGGTCGTTTTTGGACTGCCAAAATTCCATTTTTGATCCGATCAAAACATCGATAGTTCATTTTACGTAGAACTATATATAGAACATGTAAAAAAAAGTTGATAGTGATCGGATCATTTGTTTTTGAGTAATCGCTGCAGCAAATTCGGAAAATGCTGTTTTGAGAAAAACGCGTTTAAAGATTAAATGATCGTTATACTATGTACTATATATATACTCTTTAAATGACTGTAACTCAAAAACTATTTAAAATATCGATTTAAAATTTTGGTATGTTATTTTTATAACCTATCGAAATATGGAAAAATTGAAAATTCGATTTTTTGAAAATTTCACACTAGTTGTGCCCTTAAGGCAAATCATATTAGTCAAAACTCTTAGAAATTAGAGTTAAGTGTGTATTCTGATCTAGAAGCATGAATTTTATGCAATTTTTGAAAGGCCGTAAAAAGAGAAAACAATGTTTTTACTATTTTTTACAAATTATATTTTACAAACTATTTACAAAAAATTTTGCACCTGACCATACTCATAATCTTAGCCCGCCTAATATTTTGAATATAAATAAATATATATATATATATATATATATATATATATATATACACTTATTGTGATTACTATTATTCAATCATATAGCTTAGAAACTACGGACAATTTCTAGAAAAAATTTCAAAACTTGTTCGATATTCTTGAATTTTTCAACAATAGTAAAAATTTAAATTTGGTGACGAAGAAAAATCTACAAAAATAAAAAGTACTT